TACAATTCCACAGAGTTGTAACCTGGAGACCAAAACTGAGGCCCAGAAAGGGAAAGGGACTTGCCCAAGGTCACACAGCAAGGCGTCTAGATATGAACTCAAATCTGAGTCTGAAGTCAAGCATGAGGGGAACCTCACAGAGGGAAAGAAGGAAAATGCCTCAGTTTCCACCTCCTCCACCATCAGGCAGTTTAATGGCGGGATAACAACCCACGCTGCCCAGCTAGCGGACCACAAGCCAGATGGACCCGTTATGAATCTACATGAGCCCTTTGGCCACAGCACACCCAACAAAGCAGCCAGGGCCTAAGGTTGCCTCTGAGCAGTGCAGGGTGGCACCTAGGCTGAACCTAGAAGTTAAAAAGGGACGAAATCAAGTCTGTGCAGAAAGAGGATGGGTGAACCCAGCTTGGAGGCCGTTCATACAGAGACCTAGGAGTTTTAAAAGACCCTCTGAAAGGTAAGTAAATGTTAGCACAAGCATCTAACTTGGTGTCCAGCACATAGTAGGTGCATAACCATTGTTTGTTAAAGTGTAATATGAGCCAACAAGGTGATAGAGCTACAGAGCAAAGCTAACACAGCCTTAGGTCATATTAACAGAAGGACAGAGTCTACAGTGAAGAAGGTGACCCATATCTCACCATCTCCCATCCTAGGTTCAATCCTGGGTTCTGAACAGAATAAGGTCTGGACAAACAGAGATAATCCAGGGGATGTGATAATCCAGGGGATGTGTGTAGCTGGAGGAGCAGGGCACTAAGCCTAGGGATAAGCACTGCGTGGACAGACTTGGTCACAGGCCCCAGGTATCTGCAGGGCTTCCTGCAGGACAGAGGGACCACGTGGGGCTACGAGCTCCAGAGGTCAGGACCTTGGGATGTCACTAGAGCAGATGCCAGCTCAATATACAAAATAATTTTCTAAAATTCTTTAGAGAACTGCTTTGGATGGTCATGGGCACCCTGCCATGAGGGGTGGCAGAGGTTGGGTTAGATGTCCTTAGCTCAGAACCTACCAGGCTCCCAAATTATAATCTCCAAAGTACAGGAGGGACATATTAGTCCATCTGTTTCTACTTAATTTTTAACTAAAAACAGCTAACAGTATATAGTTCAACCCTGATGGGCACCCTTGGCTATATGTCAGATACTGAATGTCATGCCTACTAAGTGCGGTTCCCAAGGCCAGTGGGAAGCCCCACAATAGGTCTGCTGCGACCCTGTCTTTCATTTCTCTACATTCAGCCTATATATTGTACGGCCGTATATTGCAGTACACTGGTGCCAGGTTGGGTGGATTTGAGGATCAAACAATGCATTTTAACTGAATCAGCCCCTACAGAGTAGACAAGTGGATTCAAAGAGGCCCTGCAAAGAAACCACAGATGGAGATAACTCTAATCCAGAAAGTGCAAGCGAGAGCAGGAAAAGTGCGGGACAGACCCCTGGCTGCTCCTCACTCAAGACCTTCATCAGCCACCTTACCACGTTGAAAACAATGAATGGGATCTCATACACACGGTATTGCTTACTGAAATAATAATAGGAAAACTACTTGGTATGTGGACTTCCATCCACTATTTTGGTAATTAAATTCACACTGAGTGTATATTGGGCCTTTAGACATTAGCTAATCATCACAGTACTTGTATATCATTTCTAAATCTATAAATATGCATCTGTTAGGAGTGCCTAAAGCATTTTTCTTGAGAAGCCTGTGCAATCGAAAAGTGTGACAGGGCACCTGGGTGGCTCAGTGGGTTGCGCATCTGATTCGATTTCGGCTCAGGTGGTGATCTCAGGGTCACAGGATTGAGCCCTGGGTCAGGCTCTGTGCTGTGTGTGGAGCCTACCTGGGATTCTCTCTCTCCTTTTCCCTCTGTCCCTGCCCGCACCACCCCCCCTCCAAAAAAAAAAAAAAAAGAAAGTGTGGCAACCACTGCTCCAGATCCTCAGACCCAGCTAGACACTAGGGGATGCTGCTCCCTGTTTGGGTTTCAGGGTTGAATCAGATTTGTTTCAGATTTAGGAACTAAGAAAAACTAGGGGGGAGTGTGCCCCCTAGTAAAAATTGTTGAGCCCCTCCCCAACAACATATCAAGATTAATGGGAAGAAACCAAAAGCTCTTTTTTTTTTTTTTAAGGTTATATTCATTTGACAAAGAGAGAAACAGCGAGAGAGGGAACACAAGCAGGGGGAGTGGGAGCGGGAGAAGCAGGCTTCCCGCTGAGCAGGGAGCCCAATGCGGGGCTCGATCCCAGGACCCTGAGATCATGACCTGAGCCGAAGGCAGACGCTTAACGACTGAGCCACCCAGGCGCCCCAAACCAAGAGCTCTTAAAAGGTTTTCCCCAGCTCAGATTCTCTAAGGTAGGTGCCTATTTAAATAGCCAGAGCCAGGGTACTTGGGTGGCTCAGATGGTTAAGCGTCTGCCTTCGGCTCAGGTCATGATCCCAGGGTCCTGGGATCGAGTCCTGCATTGGGCTCCCCGCTCTGTGGGAACCCTGCCTCTCTCTCTGTCTCTCATGAATAAATAAATAGAATCTTAAAAAAAAAAAAAAACCAATAAAAAATAAACAGCCAGAGCCAGTCCAGGCTCCTTTCTCATTCTGTCACCTAAGTTTCTTTGTCTCCTCTCTCTTTTCCATCTTTTTCTCCTGTCTCCCCACCACCCCCCCACACATGTAATTTGGCAACAGTAAAAACCAGAAAGGAGGTGTCCAATGCAAGAGAAGGAGCTTGCTGCATCTTGAATGTCAGACAAACCTGGATTAAGTTCCCACCACTACCTTCCACTGACTGGGATCACTGCACACCACATTCATTCTCAGAGCCTCAGAATCCTCCCCTGGAGAAACAGACATGCCTACAACTCAGCAATAAAATGCGAACCTAACTTTAAAATGGTCAAAGGATTTGAATAGGCATTTCTCTGAAGAAGTGGTCAGTAGCACCTGGAACGATGCTCGACATCTATTTATTAAGAGAAATGCAAATCAAAAGCACAATGAGAGGGGCACCTGGCTGGCTCAGTCGGAAGAGCATACGACTCTTGATCTCGGGGTCATGAGTTTGAGCCCTATGTTGGGTGTAGAGATTATTTAAATAACGAAAACTTTAAAAAGAACACAAAACAAACCCACAATGAGATACCACTTCATACCCTCTAGGATGGCTACAATAAGAAATCCAGAAAATAACATGTGCTAACAAGGATGTGGAAAATTGGGAGGCTTCATGTATAGTTGGTGGGACTGCAGAATGGTACAGCCCCTTGGGGAATGCTTAGTGACTTCTCTAAATGTCAAACATAGATTCACCATATGACCCTGCAAGTCCACTCCTTAGGTATACATCCAAGAGAACTGAAAACCTAAGTCCACATAAAAACTCTCACGTGAATGTCCACATCAGCTTTATTCATAACAGCCACAAAGTGGAAACAACCCAAGGGTCCATCAACTGATGAACGGATAAACAAAACGTGATACAATTATACAACACCATTCAGCCAGAAAGAGGGATGAAGCGCTGGTGACATGCTACAGCATGGACAAACCTTGAAAGCATGATGCTAAGTGCAAAAAAAAAAAAACAACAAAGCCAGTCAGGAAGGAGCACCTATTACATGATTCCATTGATATAACATATCCAGAATAAGCAAATCCATAGAGATAATCCACAACGTAGATTAGTGGTTGCCAGGGGAAGGAGGAAGTGGGGGGTGACTGCTAAAGGGTCTGGGGTTTACTTGGGGATGATAATTCTAAATTCTAAATTCGATAGTGGTGACGGTTGCATGACTCTGTGAATATACTAAAAGACACTGACTTGTACACTTTAAAAGTGAGAATTCGGTGGCATGTCAATGATATCTCAATAAAGTTGTTATTGAAAAAAAAAAAGGATGAGGCCACCTCGCCAGCGCGGGGGAGAGAGCGCTCTAGGACGGTGGCCTGGAGGGGATTTCAAAGCACAGGTTTAGAGGCGTTTCAGAGGGCTACGCTAGCCCCCGGGTCCACGGGTTTCGGAGACAGGAGAGGTCCCATTATTTATAGATCTGCTTGGTTTGGACCCCAAACCAAACACCGCACACGTCCCTCGCCACAGCTCCCCGTAACACACACGCCTGATTCAACTTTTCTGGCAGTTTCTAAAGAAAGCAGTATAAAATAATAAGCACATGACCATCATCTTTTGTCCCCCTTACCAAAAACACGGATTGGCTGGAGGCCTGAAGGCCGCCTCCGAGGAGAGGGGCTGGGATGCTCCCTCGGAGCTGAGGGGGCTCCTGATGCTGGGGGCGGGGCTGGGGGGCGGAGCTCCCTTCCAGGCCACGCCACCGGGTGAGCCTCTGACAGGCAGCAGGGCTCCCCTCCCCCAAGGCCCGGCTCTGCCTGTTCAGCATTTCCAGCATTTTCTCCCCAAAGGTGCCTTTGAGCCCAAGGCAGAGGAGACGACTGGCCTCCTCATCTTCTCGAGTCTACCAGGCCTGGCCCAGAGAGCCTAGGGCGCCTTCGGAGGGGGTGTCCGGAGGGCAGCTGCCTTCACTTGCTGGTCAAAGCACAGAGACTGGGTTGTTTTGGGGGGAAACACCTTCGTCCTCCCAAGTGTTTGGTCCCACAAGGGCAGAATGGACGAAGACTTCAGAGATCGAGTTTGGCCCTTCATGGGGAAACTGAGGCTCAGAGCCATCAAAGGTTTTTCGGAAGGTCCCGCAGCAAGTTAGCGACAGAAACAGGAGTTGGTCACCTGCTGTGACCAGACATGGGCTGGCTGAAGCCTCAAAACAACCCAGGGAGGTGAATATTTGTCATCCTCCCCTGATACCTCCAGAGATGGAGACTGAGGTGCTCACCCAGCTGGGAAGGTGCAGAGCTGGGATTCAAATCCAGGTCCACCTAGGAACCACAAAATCTCAGGCCGGTGGAAGAGCCTGTTCTCCTAAAAATTAACCCTCCACCCCGCCCCTCACCCAGCACGTGTGTCCCATTACCTGTGGTCTGGAGGCCCGTGTTGGCTGCCAGGAGAGCCTTGTGTGGACTGTGCCAATGCCAGGCTGGGCAGGGGAAGAGGGCGGTGGGAGAGGCCAGGCCACACCCCCGTGACAGGGAGGGGGCGGGGCATGAGTTGCCCTGGGCCGCACTCAGTTCACCAGGGTGGCATTCCTTCCTGCTGGTGCTATCGGGCCCCAGGACTTCCTGTCTGACTTGAGGCTTCCTCATGACACCCCAGGCACAGCAGATGGGGCCCCTAAACCCCCAGACCCACCCCCTGGTCATGGCCATGACTGCTGACTCAGGGCACGGTGATGCAGGGGGTAGTTGCCCTGCCCTTGGCTGGTGCAGGGAGGAGGTGGGGTGTATCCCAGATCCCACCTCATTGGTGAGACTGACTCAGGACCCAGCTGTGTGGGCCAACGCAATGCTTTCCCAAGGGGTGAGGTTGGGCAGGCGGCAGGACCGGAGGCCCAGGGCTCAGAGGACTGGGGGACTCCTGTGAATGGGACTGGCAGTGCCCTCTTCTGGTGAGGAAACTGGGCAAAGGCTAGAATATCCATTGCCTTGTGCAGACAGGAAAACACAGGTCCCAAGGGGGTGAGGGGTGGGGACTGACCTCCTACAGTGGGTCCAAGAATAACCCCAGCTCAGCCTGCCTCTGCTTCTTACTCACTTATCAAACACTTTGGAAGTAGGATAGTAAGCAAGTCCTACACTGCCTTGGGAAGCGCCCAGGCCAGCTAGAGACAGGCCATGACAGGCCCCATGAGGGCAAGGCCCAGGGAGCTATGGGTTCCCAGGAGGGCTTTCTGGAAGAGGAGTCATTTGGATCCTAAGCTCAGGCCAAAATCTCGGAGTCATCCTTGACTCTTGGCTCTTTCATACTCTGTATCTGACATATCTGGAAAACCCTGTTGGCCCCACCTTCAACGTATCCCAAAGCCAGGCTATTCTCTCCACCTCATGGCAACCACCCTGGTCCAGCCAACATGAAATAGCAAAAAGAAGCAGGTGGAACTAATTTTATTAAAATAGCATTAAAAAATATGCCACTAGTCTGTCTGCTCCTGCCCTCAGCCCAGCCGCTGTCCTAATCATGGCAACCAGAGGGATCTGGTTAAAACCCAAGACAACTCATGTCCCTCCCAGGGCTCCCACCTCACTCAGGATAAAACTCAAGGTCTTACATAGCCCTCCACCATCTGGGACCCACCTCTTGCTCTCTCTGACCTTAATTCCAATGACTTCCTCTCTCACTCTGCCCAGCTACACTGGAATGTGCCCCAAGCCCTCCAGTTAGGTTCCACCCCCGGGGCCTTTGCACTCGCTGTTCCCTCTGCCTAGAATGCTTTTCCCCCAATAGCCTGCTGGTTCCTTTCCTCACTTCTTCAGGTCTCTACTCAAATGTCACCTTCTCCAAGAGGCCTTACCTGACCACCCGGTACAAAGTAGTAACCGCCAGCACCACCTTTCCCTGTCATCCCGCTTTATTGTTCGTCAACTGACATACTATATGTTTTTTGTTATGTGTATTTCCTCCTCATGTATTGTTCGCTCCAGGAACCTAGGCTGGTGTCTGACACACAGTAGGTGCTCAGTAGATTTTGTTGACTGAATGAATGACCTGAAAGGGAAGCTGAAGAAGCATTGCAAGGGCATTCCGGGCAGGGGAACCGGGAGTGCAAAGGGTTAGGAGGAAGAGGCCCTGCTTGTGCTGAGGATCTGGAAATAACTCAGTGCAGCAGGAGAGTGGGGCCTGGAGGAGGGGAGAAGGGAAAGCGAGAGGCACAGGGCCTTGGGAGCCAGACCTCGGAGGCCGGGTATTATCCTGAGAGCGATGGGGAGCCACACAAGAGGGACATGATCAAATCTACTACATTTTAGACAACAATTTGGCTGCCATGTTGTGGATTGGTGAGGCTGTGAGGGGCAGGCATTCAGGTGAGCACGAGCCATGACAGGGGAGATAAGGACTAGGGACAGGGTCACTGCACTGTTTGGTACAGTGTGGCTATGGAGTCCTCGTAATGTGGCTGGTCAGAATTGAGATGCGCTGTTAAGTGTAAAAGACACCCAAAACTTGCTATGAAAAACAAGAATACGCAATAGCTCATTAATAATTTTGGTATTACTCGTTAAAAAGATAATATTTTGGGTACACTGGGTTAAAGAAAATATGTTATTAAAATTAGTTCCACCTGCTTCTTTTTGCTATTTTTAATGTAATTACTGGAAAATTTAAAAATGTTTGTAGGTACATAGAGCTTACAATATATTCCTGTTGGACAGCCCTGATTTAGAAGGTAGAACAGGCAGGGCTTGGTTGATGGCCTGGGAGGATGAGGGAGACCCTCAGTCTGATTACAGGTCTCCTCTCCCTTCTAGCTGCGCCTGTCTGATGAGACTGTGTAATCCAGAGGCAGAAAGAATGGGCTACAGGGAAGGGCCAATAGAATTAGTTCTCTTCTCAACACAAGCACACACACAAAATTCCTGTCTTTACAGTAAGAACAATCCAGAAATGGAATAGGTTGACAGAATAGGCAATGAGTCCTCCGTCCCAGGAGTTATGTAAGAAGAAAGTTGAAGACCACCATTAACCAGGGGAAAGGAAATTGAACTGATTAGTTACTTTCAAAATGTGGTCCCTGGACCAGCAGCCTCAGCATCACCTGAAAACCTTTTAGAAATGCAAATTCTCAGGTTCCATCCCAGTCCTACTGAACGAGCAACTCTGGAAGTGGGACCCATAATTTGTATTTAACAAACCCCCGAGATGCTTCAGATGCTTGTTCAAGAATCACTGGACTAAATAATACTTCGTATTATTTAAAGGTTTCAATGATTGGCATATAGTAAGTGCTCAGAAAGACCCCCCCCCTTCACTTTCTGTTTGCGTTCTAATCCCAGGCACAGGTACTTCCCATCTCTGAGCAAATGAGTTTACTTCCCGTCTCACCTGTAGCACCAGGTTGTACGGACCTGACACAGGATAGAGGCACAACGTCAGGGCATTTCCTATCTCTCCAACATGGGCAGATGGCCAGGGCTGCGGACAGGGCTGCCAGAGGTGTACTGGAGGCCCCAGCTTAGCTCCCTCCCAAGGTGACCTCACTGCCCTATGTGTGTATGTAGGGGGGGGTGGGGATTCATGAGACAAACTCCCACTGTCCTGTGGGCACAGCTGACAACCCTGGGGAAGCCGACTCAGCAGCTGAGCATGGCATCCGGCTTCCCTGCATTCCAGGACTGCCAGCTGGGGGCCCACCTGACTCAGCAAGCACGTGCACTCTGGAGGTAACAAAGAGCTTGGCCTCCGTCTCCACATCCATCAGAATGGGGAGATGGCAGCACCTATCCCTGGTGACGTTATTGGTATAAAGTGTTTGGAAGCATGCCTGCACACAGTCAGCCTGCTCTACGCTTCGGCATTCTGGTGATGGGGCCACTGGGATTCCTCATGCAGATGGGAACTCCCCAGGGACTTGTTAGGTCTGAGAGTTATGCCATGCAGGTGTAGGGGGGAAAATGTGCTTCTACTATGCACACCTAGGAGCCTGGTTCTCTATATGAATTTTTACTTAGTCACCAAACAGATGTCTGTGAGGATGGGGCCTGTTTTAATCACCTTGAAACATTTATTAAATGGATTCTCTAAATCAGGGGGCATTGGCCCCATTTCATGGATGGAAAATTGAGGGTCAGAGACTGAAATGATTTGCTCCAGGTCAGATAACTAACCAGAAAGTGGCTGGGTCAGGATTCGAAGCCCGGTTTCCCTGACTGCAAAGTTGGGACTTTTCCCACTGCTCCGTGCAGAAACCCCAACCTAAACTTCTGGGTTAGAAGCCCCTGTATATGTCATTGAAATCCACATTCGAAGAGCTAGCCTCTGGCCTAGACTGGAATCTTTGCAACTCCATAGTCTTTGAGAAACAACAGCTGCAGCTGATGCTATATGAGATGGAGTTTAAAATATTCCTAAATCCAGATTAAGCGTGATTCATGTTGGCCTCTGGGCCTCAGTTGTTCTGCCTGTAAAATGGGCAGGATGAAAACCAGCTTTGGCTGAAGGCAGAGGTTGAACCTGCTGACCCTGATAGCGCCTCTAACTCTCAGATGCCAGGATCCCTATGCCTACTTTAAAGGACGAGGACCAAAGTTAAATTTAAAAAATTAATAAAGAGGGACCCCTGGGTGGCTCAGTCGGTGAAGTGGCTGCCTTCGGCTCAGGTCATGATCCCAAGGTCCTGGGATTGAGCCCCGCATCAGGCTCTCTGCTTGGTGGGGAGTCTGTTTCTCTCTCTCTCTCTCTCTCCCCCTCTGTCCCTCCCCACTGCTCATTCTCTCTCTCTCTCAAATAAATTAAAAAAACTTCAAACAACAACAAAAACTACCTCTGTTTGACCATGTTTTTTAAATGAAACTTTTTATAATGTATAATATATTTGAGATAATTATTTATTTGAGATAATCACAGGCAGTTTTAAGACATAATACAGAGATCTCATATGACCTTTATCTAGCTTCCCTCAATGGGAACATCTTGAAAAACTACAGGACAATTTCACAACCGGGATATTGACAGTGATCCTGTTAAAATACAGAACATCTCCATCACTATCAGGATCCCTCAAGCGGCCCTCTGAGAGCCACACCCACTCTTCTTCTCATTTTTCCCCTCCCTGATCTCTGGCAACCACTAATCTCTTCTCCATTTCTATAATTTCATCATTTCAAGAATGTTATATAGGGCGCCTGGGTGGCTCAGTTGGTTAAGCGACTGCCTTCGGCTCAGGTCATGATCCTGGAGTCCCGGGATCGAGTCCCGCATCGGGCTCCCTGCTCAGCGAGGAGCCTGCTTCTCCCTCTGACCCTCCCCCACTCATGTACTCTCTCTCTCAAATAAATAAATAAATCTTTAAAAAAAAAAAAAAGAATGTTATATAAAGGGAACCATATAGTTTATGACCTTTGGGGATTAGCTTCTTTCATTCTGCATACTTCTCTGTTAGATTCATTCAGGTTGTTGTATCAATAGCTTGTTCCTTTTTTATTGCTGAGCCATTCACCCACCAAAGGACACTTGGTTGTTTCCAGTTCTGTTATGAATAAAGCTGTTACAAACAT